CTATTACAAACAGAGACCTACTTCAGAAGTGTAAGTTGTGATTTTAAACATATATGTTTTAGTTCCTGGGTGTGCTTTCCTCAAGTTTAAATGGCTGCTTTTGGGTTGGGTGGGTTTTTTTGTTGGAGGGTTTTTTTTTAACTTCTGTTAATATAGGCACATCTGAACTTGTTTTCTTCCCTCCCGCCAGTCTGATTTGCAACTTTTGAGGCATCTGTACTAAGAAAGATTTGAACGTATTAATAGGGCTTAAAGACACTTTTCATGGTGACCTTTAAAATATCTGAAGCTGTGAACTAACTCTAGTCTGGAGCGAAGAGAACTTTTCAGCTCGAAGTTTCAGGATAAATGAAGCACAGCACTTTCATACGCTTTTCTGCATTCTGTTCTGTAAAACAACGCAAGTAGTGAATTCAAGTCTCAGCTGCCTCTTTCTGAAAAGATACTTGTTTAGGCAGTTGTGACTAAGTTGATGATTTCACCGTTCAAAAGTTTTTTCCTGTTCAGCTAAATGATACCTTTTTAAAAAACGTACTGCTTAGCTGTGGGCCGGAGTTTTATTTAGCATATATTGCCTAGGAGAGTGTGGTACTTGCAGGCATCATTTGCAATTGTGACATGAAAGAGCCATTGTCTTTGGCAAAGCAGCTGCGCTCTTCAGCTAATGACACTGACTTTCAAGCAGCTATTAATTAAAAGACAGTTGTGAACTGCTGCCGTATTCAAACAGTATTTTAATCCACCCATATTTTATTAAAAGTAAACCTTTCAGTTATGTTCTGTATTGCATTTGTCCTTTGTGAATAAATGAAGGACGCTCACTTTAAGCTTTGAGCTAAAGCAACGTCCATTTTGCCAAATATTTTATGTCCGCGAAGCTGCAGAGGTAGCAGGTTGGTTTAGCATGAGCAGACTGCTAACGGGGTCTGCGTGATGGAACTGCTCAGACAAAATTTTGGTACTATTGTATTAAAAGAGTGTGTGTGTGTGTGTCTGTGTGTTCACACTACAGTTTGAACAAGCTGGCATGTCAAAACTTGTCAGAGGGAAGCACAGAAGTGTGTGAAAGAAAACATTGTCCTCATGAGAATGTTGGGAGGAAAACGACGTCATTCAGTTTTAATTACACCTATTAAGACTGCTCTGTGTAAAAGGCTTCCTGATGATGCCATTGCTAAGCGTGTTTTTCAGGACTTTGTGTACATTTCAAGTGAGCTGAGGTTTAAACTTGCTTAGTAGGTTCCTACACTATGATTAAGGAAAAGGGAGGTGATAAAACAACGGAGTATCTTGTGTGGAAGAGCAGTGAATGGTCTGGAAACTGCTGCAACATTGCGTAACCACAGAGTGTGTTTAGTCAAAGGCGTTGCAGAGTAGACAGTGAAAACAAGATAGTGTCAGGGTTTTATTTCAGCTTTCCAAGTAGTCGATTTTAATTCAGGCTACAGCGAGTTTTCTCCTGTTTTCTCACACATTTATTTCATAATGCCGAAGTCGGGAAGAAATGGAACAGTGATAATGAAAATTAGAAATGCGAATGTGGGTGAAATGGTAACCAATGTTCCTCCTACTGTAGAGGCATTAAATGGAAAAAAAAAAGGGGGGGGCACAAGCATTGTGTTGGTGGATAGCTCAGCAAATACCATTTATATAATGCATTTGTATGCACCCAGCAGCATGGAGATGGCCAAGGTAAATAGGAATAGGATTTTTTTTTCCTCTTTGCAATCTGAAGGCAAAAATTAGTGCTGTTCAGAACAATGTTAAATTGAACGGTGTGTGGTATTTGTGATTGGCATGTCCTGTAGAACATACTGCTGTGCTGGGAGGGGAAAGAGAAGCTGCATAGATACACATATGGATTGCGCTGCTTGAAATGGGGAAGAATAGCAGATAATGTGAAAGGGAATAAATAGTTGATAAAGTTAGGCAGCAGGGGTTGTGTGTCTGGCTAAAGCAAACAAAATGCAAAGAACGAGTTTAAATGGTTACTTCCTGTTGGCTCTTGTAGCAAATGTCTTTCATTTAAAATAAAATAGATGAAGATACTTATCAAGTACCATATGTAATCTAGCTTTATGATGGTGACATGGGTTGGGGTGCTTACAGGGAGAATTAATGGATAAAACAACAAAAAAGCAGTATCGTGCAGATGATCAGTGTCATATACAGAGTGAATCGAAATATAAAACCACTGGGTGCCTTCTGACAGAAGGGCTTTCACAGGTGAGCTTTGGTAAAGCTTCCTGTGGAAACTGGGCGCCGTACCTTCATTTGCCTGCCTCATCACCTTGCTGGAAATCGGTCCCTACTTTTTAGCTGAGTCAGGAGGAGAGGACGTGCCACCACACCAGAGCCATGCGGCTTAATGTTTCGTTTCAGTGAATTAGCCTGAATCCTGGATGAACAAGCAGCTGGTAACTCTGTAAAACCAAATCATGAGTCAAAATCCTTAGTCTTGTTTAGGGTGCCACCAGAATCAATTGGCAAGTTCTGGAGTTGGTGTGGTTTTATGCTGAGTAAGGGCTGTGACTAAGAAAGCATAAGGCAAAGTAGGTTTTCAGGCTCTAGGTATACAGAGTTGGCCAGCTTTATTTCTTCAATCTAAAGTTAAGCTAGAAAAGTACTCTTTTCTAAAAGTAGGTTTATCTGTGTTGCATTAATATAATTTTTCATGCAAGGTACTGCAGGAGGTTTTTTCGTGGGGTTTTAATTTTGGCTAAAACCTGATTGTGTCATGAGCTGGTTTTAGGAAGCCTGGAGTTGCTGATACACGCTGCTTGAGAGGGATGTAGCAAGGTCTGCCTGCTGGAGCTGTGGGCGTTCTCAAGTGTGCCCAGCCCTTCTCTTTGCATCTTTAAAACGCGAGGTCGGCCGGTGTTGGGAAATCCCTTCACCGGCTTTCTCGGCTCTGCAGTTGAGTACAGCAGAAATTGCACAAATACATGCACCGAGGAGTGCCTGGGCCTAGTCAGAATGGGGATGGAGTGCTCTAAAAGAGGTGGCGTAAGGTTATGTTGGACCTGACAGTTCAGAAAGGGCACTGCATGTATTTAAGCAAGGTAGTGTAAGTAAATGCCAATTAATTAATTTGAGGACAAGTAAACATTGGAGTAAACTGTATGGAAAAGTACCTTCTGTTCTGTAAACTTGGGGAAACTTTAGCAGCTGGGAGGAGAGAGATCGGGGTGGGATGGTGGGTAGAGCATTTACATTGGGATGGGAAGGTTGTGGTTCACGTTCTTGTTCTGCTCTCTTATCTGTTGGGACAGATGACATCAGTAAAGTGTCACTTGGTCTGAAATGGGAAGGAGTGTGCGTGTGTCTTGGGGGAGGTAGGGAGGTCTGTTTTGTCGGACTCTATGTAATGCTTTTATATAGCATGACTCACTGATAATTGAGCACGTGTATTATGGCAGTGTCCTATCAGTGTCTGTTTCCTAGGGAAACTGAGCAGGTCAGGATTAGCTTTCTTCATGGAAATGCTGTGCCCTAGGTTTGGAGATCCTTGCCCTTCCCTTTTTGTTAATGTGGCCATAATGTACAAGTGTTCCTCTTTTATTGCTGTTGTTTGACACTGGGTTTATACTTTCTGAAAGTACTGAATCTGGTAGCTGGCTAAGGCTTCCTTTGAAAAATGAGACTATGCCAATAACCAGGGAGGGGAAAAAATTTTTAAGTAGTAATTCTGACTTACGGGGGCGTAATGCTATTAATCAGTAGAAAGATAATCTTAGAGTAGAATTTACTCGACTGTCACATGAGAATAGTGGGTTTTTGTTGTGGGGTTTTTTTTTTGAGAACTAGTTAATTTATTATAGCAAGGGCTGAAAACATGAGCAACCCTATCTGCAGACGTTTGGAATGACACAGCTTGAGTACAAGAAGATGTTAATCTTTTTAATAAGCGGCTTTCTGAATTTTCTTTATTTAGATTTTGTCTTTAGAATCCCATGTTCTTCTGCAACTTGTATTTTCTGAAGCCTGGAAGTCAGCCCAGGTGCTGCTGTATCTTCCTTTCCCCATGGAGAGAGCTCACTTTGTTCTTGGTCATTTAAACTCTTGAAAAGCTTGTCCTCCACCATAGTCCTCTGAAACCTCTGCTTTATGAGGAAGCAGAATATGTAGCTATTTTAAGTCTCCTTGATAGCAAAGTAAGCTGGAATTCCCAGGATGCGCTGCTTTTTAAACTGAGTTAATGTAAAAAGTTGAGGGGCTGGGCCAGTTCTTGGAAATGACAAATAGGAAAAAACATCTGGGTAGGGGAAGTAGCAGTTTGTGATACTTGGAGAGCATGGATTTCTTACAGCAGCTTTGCTGTCCAAACAAGTGTGTTGTGTGAGTACACCCTCAGTGAAACCCTAACTCATTTGAGAATAGATTGCCCAGTAATTATTTCTACTATGGTCTACCATTTGTATGGCTGTTGGTTAGTTGGTCATTCTGCAGTAACACCTTGGATGTGTGAGATGAGGTCATTAAACATGTAAGTGTGGGAGGAAAAAAGGTCCTGAAACATTCTGTGTCTTCCCGTTAGTGCCTGACACCTTAAAAATATCAATGCTTGATTAGATATGAAGCCATTGACTCATTTATGCTTGTGTATTACCTGTGTAAATCACTTCTAAGGTCAGATGTCGTTTTACTAGAATAAAGAGCTGAGTAATAAAATACAGTGCAAATGGCTTTATTCTGTAATCTTTGCTCAGATGGGGTACTCTGTCTTTGAGCATCAGTTGCCTAGAACGGTGGGTTTGATCCTGTGTCTGTTGTTCCCTGGATGGACCCCAAATCTGCAAATGTCTTTGTTCTTGTATTTTATTTAATGCAGAAACTGATTGCAGCACTTAAATTGTACTTGAGTTACTTTTTGATTTATTTGGCCTCTTGTTTTATTGGCAGAATTCATTGTGGATGAAAGACTGAAGTGAAGAACCCAATGTAATTTTAATTGCCTTGGTAATTTGATCTTAATTTGCTTAAATATCTTGTGTACACAGTGAGGAGCTAGGAGAATTCATGGAGATGAAAGGTGCCAACAGCCCTGGGATCCTTGTACTGACCACGGGCCTCAGCAAACCTTTTATGCGTCTGGATAAATACCCCACGTTACTCAAAGAACTTGAAAGGCACATGGAGGTATATCTTATCAGCATTTATGTTCCAGCTTAATGATGATTTGACAACAATTATTTTAAAGGTACATGTCAAACATGATGGGACCCAAAATTACATTTGTTTGCTCTTCCGTCAGCCTTCTAAAATATAGGCTGGAGTGGTTTAAAATTTAGTGCAGTAGAACTTCCTGTAAAAGCTAAACGTTTAAAGTAAAACTAGCCAGAGAAGCTAATCTTCACTGCTAGAACAGTCTTGCAGGGTCTTTGGTTGACTTGACGTTAAACGTGTCTCCTGCGTACTGCTCGAGGCTACTTTATCTTGTAGAAGGAGCGCTGCTTCTCGTCTTAGGACCTCAGCATATCGAACACATCACTGGAGTAGTCCCTTTGACTTCACTGAACACTGTCCAAAACCGATCTTTCCAATATGGGAAGGTGTTTGAGGAGCTACTGTTTCCGCCTTTGCGTTTTATAGGTTAGACTTTTGGAGTGTGAAGGAGGGAGAGAAATAGAAAGTGTATGGGTCTTTGTCTTGTCACGCAATTTGGTTTGTCAGGCAGTGACAATGGAACTTACTAGTCTGCAAGGAATCTGGTTTGTGACAAAGCTAACATGCCAAATAAAACTCTTTAAAATAAACACGTTCCTATTAGGATTTCAAAATCTCTTATCTACTAGGTCTTGTAAAACTTCATTGGCTCTGTTTTAAGCATAAGTAGGAACGTTATACATGCTTCTTCATTTTTACTACAAGCAAGACCACCAGTGTTTGATATAAGAATAAGAAGGCTGTGAAAAGAGAGCAGATTGGTCTACAACTTCTATTTTACAGAATTTCTTGTTTTTAGTTAAGCCTCTAAAAATTTTTTTGTTAAATTTTACTAGAACTGAAGTTTTTATGTGTGTTTTCTTCATTGTTTTTAGGATTATCATCCGGATCGTCCAGATATTCAAAAATCCATGACTGCCTTCAAAAATCTTTCTGTAAGAGTGATAAAAAACAGATGATATATTTTAAGTAGAATGTTTTCTAATTTCATCCCCCTCTATTGCTTTTAAAAAAAGTGAAGCTTTTTTGTAAATGTTTGTATAAGAAGTCTTTGAAAGCCTGGAAATTGATGCTGTTTGTGGGGAGAGCTAGGGATGGTAATTTGCTGGGGAGTTAGAGCAAATAGACTATTAATGTCAGAGCAACAGAAAGCATTCTGCATCTCTTGGTCTGCCCTCTTGCTCGTGCTTCGTCTCCCTTTTGCCTAGTGGTGGCATAACTAGTGTCCTGAAGAAGGGCTTCTTTGCAACAATTGAGTATATTTTCTGAGTTTTTTCTAAAGTGCATTCCTTCTAGGGGAATGGTGTTGGAGTTGGGGGAGAGAGGATGAAGGGGAAAGTGCTAGTGAAGTTCAGAAGATATGAACTTCTAGGAATAATGGGAGCAGGAAGCCTAATTTGAACAGATGAGCTGTCTGTTACTGTCTTTAAAAAACCAAACACAAACCACACCTCAACTGCAACAAGTATATACTTAATGCAGTCTCAGTTACAATAAACTTAATGTTTTGTCCTTCCTGTTAGGAGTGTGTGCTGGTGGTACCCTGGCATTTTCTGGTTTTTATTTTTAATGCAGAAATTAAGTGTTATCTGTGTTCAGAAGAGGTTTGGGGATCCCGTTCTGTTGGATGCTTTACAAACAAGAGGAAATGAATGGGATTACAGCTAGCAGAGCAGGTTGAAGATATTTAATAAAAATAGGAACATAAGGTTATGCACACTCATAGCTGGCACAATTGTCGTGACTCTTTTTACTAAAGAAATACGCTTTGTTGTGTAGTTGTGTATTTGTGGCAGCTGTGTTACTCTTTTCTGCTGAGCCTAGCTATTTTTGGTTGGAAGTACAAAAATTTGAAATGTAAAGAAAGGAGAAATCTGAGAAACAGAGCTATGACTATGAACTTGGAATGGTATTTGAAGTCAGTGTATTGAAAGGAAAAATAATAATATTGAAGTGCAAAACTAGTTTTGTAGGAAATATTGGTATAGTCATCTAAATGAAAATGTTTCAAGTTAGGTGCTGTCTTCTGTGTACTACAAGCACGACAGTAAATATAAATGTAGTGGTATTTCTATCCTTAATCTGCTCCAAATTGATAAAGTTGATAGAGATGGTATTTTTCTCTGTGTTTGTTAGGCACAATGTCAAGAAGTACGGAAACGGAAAGAACTTGAACTACAAATACTGACAGAGGCTATCCGTTGTTGGGAGGGAGAGGATATTAAAACACTTGGCAATGTGATTTACATGTCCCAGGTCATGATTCAGTGTGCTGGAAGTGAGGTAATGTCCTTCTCATTTTTACTGTCAGTCTTTTTTTTCCATTTTGAATAAAATTAATTCTAATAGTTACGCAGCAGAAATAAACAATGCTTCAGAGATACTAATCTAGACTAAAATCTTTTTCTACTGATTTAAGGCTTTTATTACAAAACCTGAAATAAATGTCCTTGAAGATGGATGGTCTCATCTGTAAAATTTACTAAAACATAACCACATATAGCAGTTATAAACATATGAAGATGACTTTGCAGGATTATTTTCAAAGTGCATAATTAAACAGGATTTTCCATGTGTAGTTATGCTACAGGATCATTTTGCATAGCAGTTATTACGGCTTGTTTTAAATAACAAAAACTTTCAAGTTTGGTATTGTATTGTATGCTGTCTGAGGCACACTTTTTCCTTGCTGTTTTGGGCACTTAGCTCCAGCAGTAAATTTTAAAATACAAGCTTGAGAACCAAGTGGTTTTGGAGAAATAGGATAGGATGAGACATTAGAAAGTTGAAGGTGACACTGGGGTGGTTTTTTAAAATGCAAACCAACCAAACAAAACACACAAAGAAAAGGTTGTCCTACCAGAAATAATGTTAAAATAATCTTAAAGTGTTAACAGAAGGGAAATGTTATACAGATGACTGACATGTTTTTACTGTAAGTTGTTCCCCTGTAAAATCAATGAAGCTTTGAACCTGGTGGGGCTTTTGAATTGCAACCTCATTCAGTCAGCTTCCTCCCTTAGAACAAAGGTGCCCATAAATATCAAAAAAGAGTAAAGTGTTTATGCAACTGAATGTTTAAAAATTTGTTGCCTGATGTTTTTCTCTCAGATATTTTGTTAGGTGTTAAAATAAATAAATAAGATTCAGTAGTGCTGATAGTGCATCTTCTGCAGTGCCATCTCTTCTTGTAGTCTTAAAACTAAACCAAAACACCACCCCACCCCCCACTCTCATAATGAGCTAAAATGTCAAATGTAATGTCTGTCAGAAGTTTCTGCGTAGCATTACAGTTTTTTGACTAGATATAGAACAGCTTCATTTGTGCAAAAGCAATTGGGTTTGGTTTTGTCTTATTTTTAAATGATATAGCTATTTACAAATGTTTACTGAAAAACAAACATTAAAACTTGGTAAGGACCTGCATTGTTTTGCAAAGATGCTTGAAATTGAGACGTGGCTTTGTCAATGGATATATTTGTTTTGTCAGTAAAATTAAAACATTATACCTTAATGCTGCTTTATTTTGTTGTTTGTCTGTAGCAGTAGATTGAGTAAACCTCCTCCTTCCATAAAAATACCCCCAAAGCAAAACCACAAAGGACAACTTCATAAGTGAAACCAGCAAATTAAAGCCAGAAAAAAGTAATGAGTGTTTTTGTTGCAAATATAAGCGTTACTACTTTTCTTTGATATTCTTTTTCTACTTTGGGGCATAATCCAACATCATTCAAAAATCCAGTCTCTCCAATTTGAGAGACCACGGTCTTGACGTTACCGTAACAGCATCCATCTAAATTATATTAAGAAACATATCAAATGTGTAATTTTGGTTTTGATTAAATTGGCAAGACATTTGTTACCATATTAAACATGGTCAGTATTTCACCCAGACTGTAAAATTTCTGTTTTAAAATATTAGGCTGTAGTCTCCAGGAAGAAGCAGAGGCATGTGTTACTAGCACTTTTCAATAATCAAATAATTCTGGCACTTCTTGGGGTCTGGGGAGGGAGTGGGGGTGTTAATTCTATGGAGAGTTAATTTTGCCAGGAGCAAATACTTGTGGATTAATTACGGAGTTGTAACATTGATGGTAGTTTTTAATAATATAAAACAGAAAAGGGGGGGGCGAGGGGCTTCTGATGTTGTATTTACTTTTTCATTTTCTTTTTTTGATAAGGAAAAGAATGAAAGGTATCTTCTTCTCTTCCCTAATATTTTGCTAATGTTGTCTGCCAGCCCGAGAATGAGTGGGTTTATCTATCAGGTAAGGTAATACATGTACATATGTGTATAAATGTGTTGGGGTGTGTTTTTTTCCAAATGGTATTTTGTAGAAAATTTGGAAGGATTATTAAACTTTTACATTATAAAAATAAAAGGTAATTTCTACAATAGGAACTGGTGACATGTTTTATAAAATTCTGGGCTAGAAGCGCAGGGTTTGATTTTTGCAGTTATGACTATCAGTAAAGGTTTTTTTACCTTGTTAGTAGTAGCTAATGAGAGGAAGTATCGGTAGCTTTTTAGATCTACATAGGAAAACAATGCTGTTATACAGGTTGGTTAGTGCTCTTTGCTGGTCGAGTCTTAGCAAAATTACACAGCACTCTTAAGCTTTCATGGGTGTGAGTTAGGCTGTTACCATCTGTTTCTTTAGGCGCATCTACAGTAGTATTTTATCTTTGAATCAGCAGAGCACTTTTGGAATTAATCTTCTAGTTTTTTCTGTTTAGTGATCTTTGAGTCACAGTGTAGAAGTCATTTTGGGGCTCGGAGACTAGATTCCCTCTGGATGAAGCTGAACTGGAAGGCATGCTCCAAAAGTGCACTTGATCTGCTCCAGCTACTGGAGCAGATGAAGTGCATGGACTGACGTTTAGTCCCTGGCCCCAGCCTAGAGCTAGCCCACTGTGACACCACCCAAAATGCATACAACGTGGCCTTGAGGTCCTCAGCACCGGTGTTTAACTTCACAAATCATCTGCTCGCTGCTGGTAGACAGTCTTTGAGCTCTCTACCAAGTTTCCTAGCTGAATACCCGTGCCTGTTTCCCCACTACAGAAATGGAACAACTCTGCTATAGTGCAGGAGGATCAGTGCCGATTGGGTTGGCTCCCCTGTAGCTCTAGGACACAGTGCTTTTTCAGAAGCACTTGCATTTTGGGTGTGTGTTTCAAAAGACACCCGAGAAGTAAAGCTAAAGCAAATGCACTGTCCACGACTTCCTGAAATCTTTATAAAATGTTCTTCAAGTATTGCTATGTGGTTTCCAGTAGAAAACCAAAAGCAAGGGAAAAACTGCAGCAAAGTTCTAAAAGGAGACAGATACTTCACCTGCTGTAAGTATGTAAATCAGGCTCTTGAGCAGTTTGTTCCTTGCTCCCGAGCAGTGACTGGCCTGCCGTGAAGGAATGCTGCAGCTTAGTCATTCGGGGTTCCTACATGATCAGCCACAGCCAGTCACAAACTGTGTGACTTTTTTTATTATTTTTTAATTAAGAGCAATTAAATTTGAAATTTCATGTTTGGATTTGTATCTTACCTGCCATGGCGGTAGCTGGATTTGTCTCAGACAGTGTTGCATTAGGTGGTTCAAGTGGACAATCAAGTTTGTTAGCTTTGTGCTGCTTTTAAGAATTTTTGGCAAGTGCTTTATCCCAACACTGATGGAAGAAGATACTAGAAAAGGCAAGTGAGCTCTGTATTCCAAGTGACACATCCAGAATTTCTGATGAAGGTAGATCTTCTGTACTGGTTACAAAGGCAACTGACTGGAAGTTTAGTGTGTTAACAAACAAACAATATGAAATTAAACAATCTGTCAGGCTTTAATTTGCTCTCCTATTGTACATCACTTGCATTTCTTCCTCCTCGCTCCCACCTTGTTCCCCAGGTGCACAGCATTGTTCAGTAAATAAGCATTTTTCTGTGCATTTGTCTTCAGCTGCTATTAAGTATGGCCACAGCACTTAGTGTTCGCCATCCAACCCTCTGTTGAATGCAGAGCTCTTAATTTCCTCATAACCTCTCATGTGATTTTCCCAACACTGAGAACTTCTCAAATTTTAATGACTACGTATTCACAGCAGGGTAAAATTATTTCATCACTGTTTGTGTCTGAGACAGTGGCTCAGAGCCATGTCTAGGTTGCGTAACGTAGGCCGCCTGAACTTTTCTTCTGACATTCTTCTCAGAACTGGGATGGATATGGACAGAAGATGATGCAGCTCCCTCAGTCATTCCCAGGGAAATGATGCCACTGGAGGCAGCATCTTACATTACACCCTCCCTGCATTACTGAATATTCCAGTTATCAGCATGTTTCAGGTTTTCTGGTTGATAGTGCTGATATCTGCCATGTGAGCTAATGGGGAGAACTTTAAGCAGTGGTAAACTGAAGCCCCGAGGGGCACAGGCCATACTTCACAGGAGGGCTTCACAATTGCGTGTTGAAAGAAGGGGAATGTAAACGATTCACAAGTTTAGTTCTGTTTTCTTTATGTTTTGCTGACTTTGTACTTTTTCTCTCCATGTGGTTCAGGTGATCTTTGTTCTCTGTCACCGGTCTTTTGCTTAGTGTATTCCCATATTCCTTTTCCACCTACATCAGCAGTTCTTGCACCGCTCTTTCCTTGCGGTTGTGTGCTGTGTTATTCATGAACCGACAAACACAGAAAAGCAGAAGAGAGAATTTTAGGCTGCATTGTAGTGCACAATGCCACCATGTTTCCTTCAGAGGGGAAGCTGTTGCAAGAAAACTCTTCCTTCCCCTTTGGCATCTTGGGCTTGAGCATGCTTTGTGCATACAGAATATCCAGTGATTTTTAGTTTCCAAGCTTCTAAGAAACCTTTGTCCATTCTGCAGACATTAGGAAAGAAAGGGGGAAGAAAAAAAAAAAAGTTGGTTTTTTTTTTCTTTTCTCTCCATTGGAGCCAAAATTCCACAGTACATAGTATTTGCGCTTTTGCCAGCAAGTGCTGAATAGCGTTTCTGTGCAGGAGAATACAGAATCTGTCTTAAAGAAGTTGTATTGAAGTTGCATTTTTGGTAGAGCATTTCATCCTGACAATATTCAGTCTTATTTATTCTTCTGTGTTTCTGAAGGGTCAAAAAGTTATCCTAAACTGACATTTTTTTCCAGCTTGTCTGGGTTTCAAATGAGAGGTTATTTTCTGTAAAATTAATAAGTTCTTCTGAAACTTTACAAATGTAAAGGTGTGTTTGCTGCTTTTGGTTTGTTTTGTTTTTTTTTTCCCCAGATGTTTCTGTGAGTGAATTTAGTAGTGGGGTTATTAGAGACATAAATCTTCAGTAAATAATTGATGCATGTTTAATGAAGTCTTCCTTTCTAAATCTGCTTGTACTACAAACCTTATTTTGAGAGCTAATCAAACAGTTTGCAAACAAATGTGCTTAAAGATGAGTCACCATTGCCTCTCATCATGTAATATGGATGACCCTGAAGGTCTCAGTTTCAAGAACCTGAGGCTATGATGAGTGACCACTATTACATTTGTATGGATATCATACCCTGCCTAGGTATCAAATGGACTCGTTGAAGTCACAGGTGTCATTTGCAGAAGTTGGGCATATCAAAAACTTCCATTACAAGGTGTTTGTATGGATTTTTAAAATGTTTTTAAACCCATCAGTGTGTATGTGTTTGTCAATTTACTGTGTATGTCTTTGTTCAGAGCTTGAAGTTTATATATTCTTTACTTGGTAATGTTTTTGTGTGTTTTTGATTTAACTTCAGTGTTACTGGTTTTTGGTTTTTTTAGGGAAAATTGCCAATGACAGGAATGACTATCACAAAGCTAGAAGACAGTGAAAACCATAAAAATGCATTTGAAATATCAGGTATTGACTATTAATATTTTTATTTACTACTTACTCCAGGATATACTACTTCAAATGTCAGGTGTTCAGTCTGAACAGAGGGAAAAGCTTTTCCATTGCAAGGGTGACCAAGCACTGGCACAGGTTGCCTGGAGAGATCTCCATCCTTGGAGATAGTCAAAAGCTCTCTGGCCACGGTCCTGGGCAATCAGCTCTAGGTGTCTGTGCTTAAGCAGGGAGTGGATGGCCCTACAGAGGTGCCTTCCAGCCTCAAACATCCTGTCATTATACAAATCATACAAATTTTGTAAGGCAGCTACCCGGAGCCTTGCTGGAAAGCTGCTTTTTACTGCTTGTCTTAAGCAGTTAACAAACTGTCTTTGCATGGGATTCATCCCCAGATTTCTGTATTTCCATAAATGGAGGCAGTAGCCTTGGAGGAGGTCCTTTATAATGTATGCTAAGTATGCTACTCACTGGAAGAAGAGGAATTCCAGAGACTCTGGAAGAGCTTTAAGCAAGAGCTTTCTTGTAGACATGGTCCACCTCTTTCCTGAGACTTTTAGCATCTCTAATGCCAATGATGGTTGCCATTGTGCTTACTTTGGGTAATTTCTGTCTGTTAAGGCATTTGTTTCAGCATGTACCTTACATCCTTGGGCGATTTAAAGGACAGTGGGAGCAGGGTCCACACGGTGGAGCTTCATACCTTCATTCATTTCCTGGATCAATTCTGCCTCTGAGCAGGTTGCATTTAAGTAAAGTAATTTTGACCCTCTCAAGTGGCAGGCAGTATCACACATCAATGCTAGGAGACACAGGAAAAAAGCAGTTGATGGTGCATGTTCTTCTGAGATAATAGCTATGAAGCTGACCTCGGATGAGGAATGTTGATGGGTTAAAATGGAATTAACTGCAGAAATAAAAGTAATCTTTGGTTAAGATTGCTTTCCCAAGTGACTTTTGCCTCAACTTTAATATTAGATTCAGACCAACTTTATGCCTTTTTCTGAGAGAGATTGGTGAACTGTGTTGTATAACTTCTCCTGTATTGTAGCTTACAGACTCAAGAATGACATTTTAGGCTATACACTACCTTTCCTGGGGACGATGGAGAAGCATAAGGCTACTAGATGAGCCTGTCTCCTACATCACATCTATTTCTTGTCATTAAAGGTTGTGTGTAATTATAGAGGTGGGGAAGAAGGTAGAACTCCTATGCCTGGCACAAGAACAAATTTAAGTGGAGAAAATGTCTGTTAAAACTGGAAAACTGAGATGCTGTTGTACTGAAAATAAAGGTTAAAATTTTTGCTTGGTACTCACGGGATACAATGTTTTAGGAAATGAGTGTCTTTATAATCATGTCAGACTGAGTAAAGTGTTCTTCTGTGGTTTCCTACATCTTATATTTTCTGTCACCTAGGAACGATGATTGAAAGAATACTAGTGTCTTGTAACAACCAGCAAGATTTGCATGAATGGGTGGATCACCTGCAGAAGCAAACCAAAGTCACAACTGTTGGGAATCCCACCATTAAACCTCACTCTGTGCCATCTCACACGGTAAGAAAGAGCTTCTAGATTGAAGTGAATGAGCAGTGTATGCAGGATTAAGTCATCTGGCAAATATACCACCATGTAAAGCATTTTTTTAGCCATTAGTAACAAGAACTGAATGTTATGACTAGTTTAATGGGTCAAAAAAATCATTCTGTTTTTTATTCTTTGTTCACACAATGAAAAGCTTAGATCTTGGTGTAATAGTTTAACAGGGTAAAAGAAAATTATCGCTACTTTTTCTGTTTTGACCAAATAATACACCACCAAGTAATGCACCACCATCTTTTAAGTATCCTTAGAACAGTAGGTTTTAATTGGTGATGTACTTGACAGGCTGTGGAGAAACTATTTCCTTAAGTACTTTCTTTTGGGTTCTGCATTTGAGTTGTCAGATATGAATGGATCTAAATTTAGCTCCATCCTCAGTGGTGAGAGAAGTGGGAGCAGGGCTGCTTGTAGCTGTTCTTTCTTTAGTGCGTGCTCTGTCTGTGGTAGACAATAAAAATTTCTTCAGGCTCCATTTTTCCAAATAATAGTTTAGTGTAAAAATTTTCAAAGGCCAGCTGTAATAAACGGAAGGACTAGATAGTGAGTGAGATTATTTCACCAATCCTTGATGTTATTATGTCTTTATGACAATAACATACTTTTTTTCCCTTCCCATCACCTTTGCGTCTTTGACAGCTTCCTTCCCATCCAGTAACGCCCTCCAGCAAGCATTCGGACAGTAAGCCGATACCACTGACTCCTGCGTACCACACTCTTCCTCATCCGTCACATCATGGGACTCCGCATACCACGATAAACTGGGGACCTCTGGAACCTCCGAAAACCCCCAAGCCTTGGAGTCTGAGCTGCTTACGGCCCGCACCTCCATTACGGCCTTCAGCAGCTCTTTGTTATAAAGAGGTGAGCTGTGGCAGCCAAGAAATTTGACTGTGTAGCAGGCCTGCAACGGGAAGTTTAACTTTTTTTATGCGCTACCATTTTACAATTTTGTGCATGTTTTTATATAAAGAGGATTTAACAGCCAATGCTGAATCAATGGTAATGGGCTAGTGAATGCTGTTTATTTCAAACAGGGATTTAGTCTTGCAGCTCAGAAGATACTAAGGCTTGTTGGGAGAGGCTTCCCCTGCTTCTTCCAAGTGCTTCCACTTATTTCCACTCTTTATCCAGTTAATAAATCAGACTGTTTCTTTTTTTAAATTTTCTTTTAAACTAGAAATTCATTATGTTGATCATCCAGACTTATTGCAAAGTAAGTTATTTGCTAAGCATACTGCAAAGTATCTAGGATAAGGGATCCTATGGTGCTTCAAAATGCTGTATCAAATTATTCTACACAGCTGTGGTGGTATAATTGACTCTTGGTTCCTCAGTATTTGCCAGTGTTACTAGGCAACAATAGCATATTAAAAAAAAATGCTAACTGTCAAAATATATGTAATGTTTTTGTACTCAAAAGAATCTGATGGCTAATGTTACTATTAGGGGAAAAAAAGCTTAGATTTTAACATGCTGTTGTATTTTTTAATTAGCATACGGTCTGAAACGGGAATCTGTTCCAAGAGAAATAAAATGTGGTGTTTTTAACCACGAAAAGATGGTGGTGGTAGGTTAATTTGGCCCTGCCACTACATTTTGCACGGTTCTGTAAATAGTAAAGAAATGTTAGATTTATGTTGGAAGTCTGTGTGTATGTAAGGAGGAGAATATTACATGCTCTGTGGCTTGGTGATGCCTCCTGTTTCAGTGTCTGTCATATGTTCTCATGATACTAATTTAGTGTGAAGCAACAGGGCCCAGAAGGAGTCATGCAGTTATGCCTAAGAATATTTTATTCTGTGTCGTGGTTTAACCCCAGCCAGCAACTAAGCACCACGCAGCCGCTCACTCACTCCCCCCCCATCCAGTGGGATGGGGGAGAAAATCAGGAAAAGAAGTAAAACTCCTGGGTTGAGATAAGAACGATTTAATAGAACAGAAAAGAAGAAACTAATAATGATAATGATAACACTAATAAAATGACAACAGTAGTAATAAAAGGATTGGAACATACAAATGATGCGCAGAGCAATTGCTCACCACCTGCAGACCGACACCCAGCCAGTCCCCGAGCGGCGAATCCCTGCCCCCCCTTCCCAGTTCCTAAACTAGATGGGACGTCACATGGTGTGGAATACACTGTTGGCCAGTTTGGGTCAGGTGCCCTGGCTGGGCATGAGAAGCTGAAAAATCCTTGACTCTAGTCTAAACACTACTGAGCAACAGCTGAAAACATCAGTGTTATCAACATTCTTCACATACTGAACTCAAAACACAGCACTGTACCAGCTACTAGGAAGACAGCTAACTACATCCCAGCTGAAACCAGGACATTCTGCAAGCATGAGATGTTGACAGAAAAATTTTATTTTGCAGACATGTAACTTGCAGTTTCTTAGAAAGTACAGCCTAAACACTGTGCCCCAGTGTGGCCTGGCTGTGTTATTTTTGTGGTGGCTGTGTGTCTGTGACTTCTTTTCTTTTGTAAATCCCCTAAACAACAGGGAAAAAGTGATAGGTGATCAGCAATTGGAAGGTTAGTATTCAGGCTTAGTTGCTACAAGAGGTTCTTCTGTTTTGCTGTACTATATGCTCATTTGTAATTTACGTTAAATTCCTTTCACGCTTTCATGTGTAGGGCACTGAATTCTCCCATGTGGTAAAATTTCAATCATCTTTACAGTGTTTAGCATACAATGATGTTCAAAACCTATCTTCATCTTCTTTGGTCTGTCTTGCTCATTCACCTTTTTACTTTCTTGTTCTATATTTTTATAGAGGATGTCTTGTATCCTTAAGGTAAGGGGTAGACCAGTATATTCCTTTTGTTCCTGTAACCTAGCATTGTTCCTGTAAATCAGCATGACCACGTTTTGAGCAGAAATGCTGTATTTGTTGCTGTATCTTTTTTTTTTTTTTGCTGTAGAGCTTTGTAAGAACAGACCTAAACATTTACAAATTCTGGCTTTGAAGAGTATACTACCTGCCAAACTTCCTTGTTAGGTCCTTTTTTACCTGCTTCTAAGTAGACAGGTGAAATGGGTTGTCTCTTCAAAAGTTAAGGAAAAAAACCTGTGTTAATGTATGCCTGCCTCTTCCCTTCGCTCTAGCTCCCAAACAGCCTGCATGCTTTTGCAGCAGCTTTTCTGTATATTTCTGTTAATAGAACAGATAAAATATCTGACTTTGTGTATAGTTGGAGGAAGGGTAGAGAGGAAGTCAGCCAGTTCAGGCAAATCGGATGTGCCAAAAAATATTAGTAAACTGAATTTTGGTGCTGTTAAAAGATTTTTAGTTAGTAACTCCTGTATGCATCTTAGAAGTTAAACTTTTGAAATATTGTAGAGAAGCTCTACTCTTTTTATTTTTATTTTCCCTGCACAGGATCTCAGTAAAAGCCCTAAAACCATGAAAAAGCTGCTTCCCAAACGCAAGCCAGAACGGAAGCCATCAGATGAAGAGTTTGCACTGAGAAAAAGTAAGAGAGACTTGGAACGAATGTCTGCATGATATAAAGGATGGAATTAACATCCGTTTAAATTCTGTGAAGGTTAGGCGTACAGCGTAAGCGAGTCATCTGGCTTCCTCTCTCCTGTCAGGGGAGAGGGGGGTAGGTATCTCCAGGGGATGGTTTGTTTTATTCATCTTAGGTGCTTATGTCATGATGGCATTAGTTGCTTTCTAGAGGTTTACTGTTGACTACAGTGGATGTATGCTTGGGATGGAAAGTCAGATTTCTATTTGTTTGCTACAGAGGGAAGTGAGCTTGCTATAGAGCCATGTAAAGTTCAGTAAGGTAAACCTGTCTTTTAATACTGTGAAGGACAATTTGAAGATACTGTCCCACTCTTGCAGAACACTTGGTAGCTATGTTCTTAAATTGATCCTGGTAGGAGCTTCTGCTGAGCTGTGTGTTGGAAAGCTGGGTATTGCTGCTGCTTCGAAGTCTGGTTGCTTAGAGAGGTCACTGTCTAAGATCCAACAGTCTGCTCTCATCTCCTAGAAATAAGGTCGTTTGCTAGTGTCTGTGTCTGAATGAACTGCAGGGCTTTAGAGCGCTTGAAGTCGGAAGAGCAACGCTGAACTGAGAGGGACTGATGACTGTATAGAAAAACAGAAGGGTCAAAATCTGGATGTTGGGATAATTTGGGGTGGAGGGAACATTAATGTTATCAAGCAAACACAATATTCACTTAGTTGTCAGTGTCACTCTAATTCTTCCTTAGAAATTTGTGAATGAATAATCCAAGTATTTGTATCAATAAAAGACAGGGTGTTTAAGCTGAAGGCCATATTCTTTTACTGCAACTTTTGCTTCTCTGTGTCTGTCCTTTGCTCGTGGGCTTTTTAAGACAGAGATTGTGCCTTGAGTGTTCCAATGCATGAAGTGTGTTATTGTGAACAATGTCTCTCCCTGGTTTATGTAGAGTTAGAGAGAAAAAGCTTTTCCTCAGGGCACCGTTGGTTTGTCTAAGGTGGAGGTCCTTCTGAGTGTGCTGTGAATTTCATACTGCAAAGGTTAAGGTAGTGAATAGAATGATCCTGTGTTCTTGGATGTGCAAAGTGGATGTTTAGTTCAGGACGTTTTAACCTTACAGGAAGGTATCTGTTTAGGAAAAATTAAAGTACTGCAATACAGTATCGTTTCAGATGTTGGAGGATGGAGGTTCAGTAGTTGTGCTGACAGTGGTAATACAGCTGTCAGCTTGGAGATGTAGGAATTATTAAACACTTAGTGAGGGGAGATAGTTCTTTCGGGGGGAAGAAGGGGGTTTTTAGCTTGCAGATACATTGTTCTACTGATTAACACCTTCCAGTATTTTGTATGTAGGCGATAACTTTGAATAAAAGGGATTTTTTGGTGGCTTTAAGTCAAAGAGTGTTAGTTACAGAAATATTTACTGATTCTTGGTTTTCCCCCCCCCCCCCCCCCGCTTTGTGTCAGTACTTAGAAGCTTCTGTTACATGTTAGTGCTCCTTCAAGCTTTTGCCACTTGTGGAGCTGTAAAGGTTTTCCACTGAGGAACTTCTGTTGAACTTAAAGCTTATTGATAGATAGATTTGAGTTTTATTACTTATCTCCTCCAGAATCCCAGGGTTTTTTTGTGGGCTGTGTTTTGAGAACTGCTATGTGAAATTAGCATTATAACAGACAAACCAAAATAAGTAAGGTATTTCAACTGAGTGCCCTCACAGTACTCATTTCAGAAGTGAAATATTTGTCTTGCTACTGTAGTAATATGGTGCTGCATTCTAACCACAGTGAAATCCAAAATGAAATTTTTCCTGCCTTGAAAGAGAAATAACCTGTACTTTGGAGTACCTGCATCTCCTAAACTGTAGGGAAACTATATTGGGTCAAGATAATTTCTTCAACAGTTAGCTTGTCAGCTGATCCTGACAAATGATTGGACAGTTGGCTTTGTTCTGGTGATAATAAATCACAAAGACTTATTCTCTCTGGCAGAGAATACTACTACATTTTGGTGTTGAAGGCAGTTCAGATTCACGCAGCAGAAAATTTTCAAGCCTATTTTTTTCAAGGAGGAAAACAGGAAAAATGCTTTTAAAATAACAAATGATCTTGCCCTACATATATGCTCCTAGTTCCATCTAAGCTAATAATAGAGGTACCTCCAGATTTCAGTTTGATTGGAATTTCACTCTGTTGCAAGTGAGCAATTTGAAAGCATTTTTACTGAATTCCCCAAAGAGGAGATTTGCTGTGGAGCTCTACCTTTAGGAAAATTTTGCCATGTTAAGCTTGAAAGGTTAGATTTTTTTCAGTATTTGTATTTCTACTTTAAAGTCTGAGAAGTTTAATTACTCCACTTTTGACAGATACACTTACATGATAGTTACATCTTTCCTGCTGCACACTGGACTGAAACTGTACTGACGTATTTATTATGCTGTTAATTCGGAGTTTAATTTTCAATAGTGTGCTGTTGAAAGGGGTAAATCTGATACATATACAAAACCCCAAAGTTTTCAAGATTTCTTTTCTGTGAATTAATATTCTGTTCCTTGATTTCTTTCATTAAATAATGAAATAATACATATATTATAACTGTATATACAGGTTTTTTCAGTTTAATGGCTGTTTGGTTTAGAACCAGAGTGATCACACTTCAGAACATGTTCTGTGCAACTTCAGAAGCTCAGAAAATTTCTTGAATGTGTGGGTAATTGCTCTGACTTGGTTTTTTTTCCAAGCATTTCAAGATACTATTTTGTCTTAAACTGTTACTTTTGCTCATTGAAGTATGATTTTTAAAATGGGATGATTAAGAGGATTTTAAAGGGTTGGTTAGGCTGAACTTTGGACTCAACAGAAACGTAGTGATTTAAAGAGGCTTTTCTGTATTAAGAAACATAACCATGTTTAAAATTCTATTTTTCCCATTGATTCTAGGTACAGCTGCTTTAGAAGAAGATGCTCAAATTCTTAAAGTCATTGAAGCATATTGCACAAGTGCCAAAACACGTCAAACACTAAATTCAAGTAAGTTAGAAAGTACTGAAATGGCTAAAACACAAATTAGATAGTTTGCGAAAAAGAGAGGTGTATGTTCTCAGGCCTTTGCAAGTAGCAAGCTGGACCTGGAAGTAATAATAACCTGTTTCTGGCTTAATATCAGTGCCGAGTGCTTAAGTATTGGGTGCCAAGGACCGTGGTTAAAGACTATAATTCTTTCAGTATTTAAAAAACACAAAACATAACAAAAAAAACCAAAAGCCAAAAGTGACTACTTGTCATGGTTTAAAATTGCACAAAACCTTCACCAATGAACGAGAGGTGTCTGAACTGAATGTGATAGTTAATCAGTATGCTTTTTGGTAAATTTCAAGAAGCTGGTAAGTAGAGAGGAAGAATGAAGACGTAGTCATAATTTTGGAGGAGTGTATTTTTGTCTTGTTCTGTTCAACAAAGACTTCCACTATGGAAAAGTAACCTAGACCTATAAAAATTTCTTTTCTTTTACTGCCACTAGTTGTTTTTAGTATTTATTACAAATTTTAATCCCATCTCATAATTTCAGGAGAAATTGTTCTCAGATCTGTGTGTTGCTTAAAGCCATTTTTAGTTTCTCAGATCAATACCTAGATTATTGAAAACCTGTAACGTGCCTCTGGGGTCCTACTTCATTTAATCCAAATCAAGGTTGCCATGTGGAGTTCCTCTGTATTGTAAGTAAAACATTGCGCAAAGCAGGGGAGTCCACCAGCATGTGTTCCATTTACACAAGGAAGGAGAAAATGCTGTTGCGTTTGTTCTGATTGCACAGTTTTTGCACAGTTGAATACTGATTTCATTCGGGGATCCTTGGAACACAGTATAATGATCCTGAAGAACTTGGCTGGTTTTGCTGTTGTCAGGAACTAGAAGAGTGGACATTATAACTTACTCCTTGTCCACTAAAGCTGTTTAAATTTGTGGTGTTAATCACTGTTAATACTGCCCACAGTGCTCTGTGACTGTTTTGCTTCCAAGCAAAAGCACTTTATGTTGACAGTTGAGAAGTCTCAAAATGCAATTGCAAACTTAGTTCATGGATTTTCCTAATACGTGTTTGCTTACTGTTATCACCTTGAAAAAAATCCAGGTACTTTGTATTCATATGTAATTTAAAATGGGAATATAGCCCTTGTATTAGGCTGTAGAAATTTTTGAAGTAACAACAAAAACCTTCATTTCAATTTTTCTGTCTTGAACTGTAGGCCTCCAAGGTGATAAAATTAGCTATTACATAATTTTTTATTAATACTAATCTAATTTGTAGCCCTACAGTCATTACAGTAGTGTGTTTAATTGGATAAAAAGGAATGAATGTGTTCAAAATTCTGAAGATATACTGTTGTTCCAAACAAAATTAAA